AGCGGCCACTGCACTCCAGTCTGGGTGACAGAGTGAGACTCCAACTCAAAAAAAAAGCGTGTGGAGGAAGTACCCAGAAACTCTCAGAAATAAAATGTGTAGCCTCATGTAGCCAAATTAACATATGGATTATAAGTAAGAAGATGAATTTCAATTTTAATATGAGAATAAATGCAACTTTACAGGAATCACCAAAGCTTGGGCAGGCAGGGTTTAAATAGTAGAAATAAGGAATCTCTACTGCAGACCTGAAGAAGCTGATCTGATGAAAGGAAACAAGCATTTGCTGTGTTAAGCGTATGCCACAACAAGGCCAGGTGTGGTGACTCATGCCTATAATCCCAACACTTTGGGAGGCCGAAGTGAGAGGACTGCCTGAGTCCACAGATTCAACAACAGCCTGGGAAACTTGGCGAGACCTCATTGCTACAATAAACCAAAAATTAGCCGGACATGGTGGCGTGTGCCTGTAGTTCCAGCTACTTAGAAGGCTGAAGCAGAAGGATTACCTGAGCCCAGCAGGTCGAGGTTGTGATGGCTGTGAGTGTGCCACTGCACACCAGCGTGGGCGACAGAGTGAGACTCCGACTCAAAAAAAAAAAAGAGTCTGCCATGATGAAAATAAAAGAAACCAAAAGTAAAATCATGGTAGAGAACTAAGAGAGGACAGGGTGAAATGGACCAGAAGAGAGGGAATACCAAGACTGATCATCTGCATAAGAGGGTAAGAACTATGCTCTCCTGGTACACAGCACAAACCCAACAGAGATGGCAACGGAGTGATGAGAAATTCTGTTTCTTCAGAGAGCTATTGGGAGTCTAATTCTGCTCAAAGACAATTTTGCCTCCTAAAAGTTAGAGAAATGTTGAGGGAAAAGTTCATCAAATTCTACATTTTAAAAATGCAATTAATTTTTCTTTTTTTTTTTGTAGAGATGAGGTCTTGCTGTGTTGCCCAGGTTGGTCTTGAACTCCTGGCCTCAAGCAGCTTCCCAAAGTGCTGGGATTACAGGTGTGAGCCACCATGCCTGGCAAGTTGCCCAAATTCTGACTAGCAGGATAATCGGGCTGGTGAAGTAAAACCCCCAACTAGGAACTTCAAAGAGAACTTGGAAAGAAAATTTCTTGTTATCTGGGATTTATAATTGCCAAATTAGGGATCATCAGGACTAGAATAAAGGATAACTGATAAATTCAGGCTTAATCTTAGAAAAAAAGGCCTTCAGAAATAAACCATGAAGTTCAAAATCAGCTGTTATCTTAGATTTTTTTTAAATTCAGGGGTTAAAGATAAGAATAATCACATAGTCAGAAACCACAGAAACAGGGAAAACAGGCCAAGGAGAATTTCTGACAATGCAATCCTAAATGATCTCCAAGAGGAAATGAGTGTGGTGGTGGGAAGGGCAGGGAGGAGGGGCGGTGGAGGAGACACCTGCAGAAACCAGTTGATCCCACAGACAGTCCTCTTACACATACAATACTTAAAAGCAGACTAAAAAGAAGGAAAAGCAATCTTGCATTTATTTATTTATTCATTTATTTATTCGAGTTGGAGTCTCACTCTGTCGCCCAGGCTGGAGTGCAGTGGCACGCTCACAGCCAC